AGTTTTAAAAGACTTAAAAAATACAAGAAAAATTGATCAGATATCAAGGTTGTATTAGGAAAAAAATCACATTTCATAGGTGACCCTTAATACTGTACATAGCACCACCTTGAGGCGAAGCTTGGGAAATACTACTTCATGGTCCATGAAACCTGAGTCTTTCATTGGTTTATTCATCCAATATTTACATAGCATTTCATGCAAAGCCCTGTTCTACCTGCTGGGAATACAGTGAACCAAAACCAAACCCAATCTCTTCCTTCTTGGAATTTATCTATGAAGAATGGCAATTTTGTTTCAAAAAATAGGCGTAGCTGTATCCAAATTAATTTTTTAAATGTAGTAAAAACTTAAAGGAAGCTTTACTTAAAGGAAGACCATTACAAGGTTTTCTTTTGTAATGAGTTTTTATGGGAGAGATTTGTGTAAATCAAGGTTTATCTGTACCATTCCATAGACAATCCAGATTGTTCACAAAAGAAATATGGTAGGTGGAGGGCGTACTACTGTACCTCACTTACAGGACTGAAGCTTTGCTCCCTAACTGCTAAAAGGCTTGGCTTCCGAAGCTCACAACTACGACCCCATCCTGGAATGATGGCCCCTTCAAATCAGTTATTGGGTTGTGGCTGCCCTTCTCTCTGGGAAGGTGCTTACACTTTAATAAAGAGCTCTCTTTAGCCAAAAGCTGGGCTTCAGCTTGGGTAGACTGTATTGCTATGTCTTCAAAATCTCTAAGCTTTCCTTCTGCTGTTTCTAATTCTTAATCCTATCAGTAAATGTTCATTTCATGTACTGCATTGATTTTTAGTTCTAGAAGTTTTATCTTCCATTTATCTCATTATGCTTAAGTTCACAGAACCCATCAGCATTTAAGAATATTTATTATTTAAAGTCTCGTCTGTTAATTCCATCATCTCTGTCATTTCTGGGTCCATTTTGAAATCATATTTTTTCCATTTATAGACCCTGTTTCTTGTGGTGTATAACAATTTTGTTCTGCTGCATGGACATTATGAATGCAATATTATTGAGCACCAAAGTGTTTGTTGTCTTCATTTAAAGAGTGTTGGTCATTACTATTTTTTACTTTAGTCTTTTAAATAATTTTAATATATCATTTTTAATTTATTCTTTGAGAATTTCATACTTACCTACAATGTATTTTGATAATAGTCACCCACCCCTGCAACTCAGCTTATTCCTTCTAAGTCTTAAGTTTTATTAAGCTGAATCTAGCATCATTTTTCCTCTAGGAATAGGTTAACCTTAATACCAAGACAAGAGCATCCCAGGTCTCTTCCCTATACCATGCTGAGTACTGAGACTGTCTACTCTATCTGGTCTCAACCTCAGTCCCTGCCCTCTTTAAGGTCTGGTGATTGCTCTTTCCACAGCAATCTGGCCTTTTCTTCCCCAGGCCTCACTGGATCTCTCTGTACACACAGGGCACCCTTAGCAATGACCTGCAGATTTACACTGGTTATAGATTCCCTTCTCTCCCAAACCCTGCTCACCTCTTCCAGCTGCCTTAAAATTTTGTTCAAAATGCAGTGAAGCCACTGTGCTCTTACAACTAAGTCTCAGCACTACCATCAGGGCTATGTCCCTACACAGAAAGCTGAGTCTGTTGTGGGCCCCATGCCAAATAGTTTCTTTTCCAAGACACCCTGGTCTTGTACGTCCTATTCTCTCGCTTCTAAAAAGAGCTGCTTCTGATATTCATCCAGTGTTCTAGACACTTACGACACAGAGGCAACCCCAATCCTGTGACAACAGTAAGACTAGAGACAAGTCCCCAAATACCTGTTGGTCCCATCTTTGTATGGAGTATAACATTATTACAAGCTCACTTCAGAAACACAAAACTTTTATTTCATAAAATTATATTTAGAAAGTTTTTGTTTCCTTATGGTGCTAGGGATCAAATCCAAAGCCTTGCAAATGCTAGGCAAATGGTCTACCACTTAGCTAATTCCCAGTCTATAACCTTGTCTGCTAAATAGATGTATTTAAGAGTTAACATGGGATGTGGGGGAGAGCATACCTTTTAACTCTCTAGAAGACAAACAAAATATCCAAAGCAATACTGAGAGGAAGAAGGGCACTGCTATCTGGACTCAAAATTATTCTGGCTGAACTGCTCTAAATTGACCAAAGTGTTTGCAATTTGGAACATACCAGGACACTATTATTTTGAAGCACATTTTAGTCTCTCCTTAAAGGAATAAACAAAGTAAATACTTCCAAACATAAAATATTATGTTTCATACATATTCCACATTTGTGAAATTGATGCTTGATGTTCCAGGCCCACTACAAAAACCATTACTCAAAATCAAGAAAACAATATACCCCTTGATTCCTAGTAATACAAGGTTTCTTTGGGAGATGATAAAAATGTTTTGAAATTAGATTATGGTTGACAATTTTGTAAATATGTGAAGTATTCTACTGAGTTCTATGCCTTAACAAGTGAACTTTATTGAATATGAACTGTATCTCAATAAGACTTTTTAAAAAAATTATTAAGCTTTTGTACAATTCATACAACAGCTATTAATCAAATTTAGATCCTTACCCCCATCCATACCCCCATACACCCCCAGCAGACTTCATGTATTCCACCATACATATTAAGTCCTATCCAGTCAAGTATTTGTACCCAGATGTCCGTCAGTACAAATTCATCTACTGAAGTCTAGTCAGCCTATCTAGAGATTATAGGTAAGGTCTACTCTCTCCCACCCAGTAGTAATCAGTCTCCAACAGTTCCCAGACTAGGGCTGACCTGCTGCCCATTTTTCTCACTCCACTCTGGGCTCTTGTCTGATTGAGTTGGCACTGATCCTGTGTTCAATGCTACCATTGCCACAAGTTCACACATGCAAGCTTCCAGTGTCCTGAAACCCTCTGCTTCCCTGTGTTCATGAACCAGTCCTGATTCTTCCCCCTTTTTTAACAATCTGCCCCCTGGCTCTTCCTCAATGGTCCCTGAGCCATGAGTGGGTGAGGTTCAATATAGGCATCCTATACAGGGATACACTTTGCAGTCTCTTATTCTTTAAAATTTGGCCTGCTGTGGCCTTCTGTGTGATCATGCGCTGTTGTATATGGAAGCTTCACTGGTGAGAGTTGACGAATGCATTAGTTTTCTCTCTATCCCTTGTTCTGCTGTGTTCCATGAACCTTAGTTATAGAGGTTCAACTGAAGATGTGTCACCTAGGACTGGGCATCTCTCAGATGTATATTCTCTGTGTGGAAGCAGCTGTGGACCAGTTGTGGAACTCTGCATTAGCCGCCATCTGTTGTAAAAAGAAGCTTCTTTGATGAGTGGTGTACGGTATGCTTGTCTGTTAATATAAGGATCCATATTTAGCATATGGTAAGAAATTTCATTTGTCTAGAGATATGACAGAGATAGGGTTTTCTCTAGGATCTATGACCTCGCCATCCATGTGTCTTTGGCCATGTTTACAGTACCACCCATGAGTTCACGCTCATTGAGAGGGTTTTAAGTCCAATTACATAGCTGTTGATTGCCCCCCAGTTAACAGTGCCACTACTGCACCAGTAGAGGTAGTTTGCTATGTTGGTCATTATGATTATTAGGCTTTATGACAAGATTGGACCATTGATTGATTTTCTCCCTTAGCAGCTTGCATAATATCCTCTAGAACTATGAGTGCTAAACTTCAGGTAAAGGCTTCCAGGTCAGTTTCTGCTCCATTGCTCTAAGTCCTGTGTCCCAAGTATGCCCTATCTTCAGCAGTAGGGCCTTGTCTTCCGGTTTTGGGAGAAAACCAAGAGCCCTGGCAATAGCCTGTGTTTTTCTGGGAGCCCCTTGGACTACTCTGACAAACCACTCTAAGGGAATTCTCTCCTGTCTAGCACTGTGTTCCTTATCACACAGCCCCCAGGTGTACATATGCACTAACGTTCAGACACCATATGTGCATTTCTCGGAGGGTTCTGGAGGCAACACATTTCCCAGGGCCTTGAGAGACCTTGGGAGAGACCTGTAACCCTCTCTGCCTAGATTACACAGCTCAGGGGACAACTGTTTTTCTACGCTTTCATGTCCTCATCATCCAACCAAACTTAAGCAAGCACCCTCTCTTACTTTTACCAAAATACCAATGTTTGCCATATCTTATTTCAGGCAAAGCTCACATGGTTAGATACCACGTCTTCACTGGGACTAAGTATTGGCATACTGCCACACATTCTAAGATAAAATGAAGCTTGTTTTTTTCTCCGTTTGAAAGAGCAGCATGCTTTATTCATGGCTGTTCACTGTGAACTGATTCGCGATGGTTGAGAGGCTAGAAACTGGGAAACAGGAAACAGGGAGTCTGGTTCCAGTTCTTTTTGATGCTATCTGTGTGGCGTGATGATGCCTATGTGGACAGTGAACTGATTAGGGCCTTTTTATCCACCTACAGAGTAAGGTGATGGAAGCACGTGGTTTCTAAAATCACTCCCAGGCCTAACACTGCATGAAGCTTGCCACAGAGAAAGCAGAACACTCTGTGTCACGTCGACCTTCAGCGATGGTGGCTTTGGTTGCGGCACCCTTTGTAACAGTTTGCCACTCCATTAGAGTGTTGCCTTAGATCCAAAATGCTTCTTTCATATACAACTCTGGTTTAACATTATGTCCTAAGTCCTTTATTCACAGGTGATATTATTTTCTCAGTGTAGTGAAGATCATACTTAATTGGACTGGATATGCTATGTTTAATGAGAGAAAAAATCAACATGAAGTTCTTTCTGATATTTAGAGAGATGATCCTGGCTGTGCATTGTCCAAGTTCTGCCACCCTGACCCCAGAGCTTCCAGTGCTAAAGTATTCAATTACACAGGCGTATTAAAAAAGGTAACCAGAACAATGATATTTGTGCAAGCAGTTGTACAATTTTACTTTGGAGTTTTAGTCAAACAGCTTCAGCAGTTTGGTTACAGTTTACAGTTACAAGACCTTGAGACTGACTTTTCTTATACTCGCTTGTATTTGCAAGTACAGGTGACATCATTCACTGCACTTTCCTAGAAGACGAAAGAAGGCAGAAAAATGCTTCAGTACTGTTTCTAAAACTGACACCCAGAAAACAAACTAAGTGCTCTCTACATGTGACATTCCCAGAAATTTTTGAAAACAGATCTATATAGATTATACAGATAGATATTACTTGTCATGTATATAATACGAGTAGTGTAAATATATGGTCTATGTATATATTTGGATATGTGAAAAGAGCAAGGCAGACAGTTTGGAATCTGAAACTTTTATTTAAATATTTTAAGTTGATGCTTTGAAGCATTTTTGCTATTTTAAAATTACACTGTACAGTTTTTAAATAAGAACACTAACTTACATGAATATAGCATTGCATGATTATCAGACCACAGACAGATGTACATGATGATGCTTGATTCTCTCAGGAAACCTGTGAAGATACTCCCTACCTCCTAAAGGTAAGAACTCTGAATCGTAAGGAAGATAACTGACTTGCCTGAAGTCCTATAAATTCTGAACGACAGAGATGAAATCCATACCCTCAGATTCTAAGTTTGTGTTTTTCCTGAACTATTAATTGTTATTTATTGAACCATTATTTACCTATTTATGATTTAATGATACTGTAAGAAACAATAAACTTTATTATTTTTAATCCTCCCTGTCTAATATTACAAAGACTAAAATAGAATCTTCACTGTATTTTCACTGAAAAAAGTTCCTTATTAAGAAGTGAGAATATATCTTTTTCCTCTGTCCACACAGATCTGGCACCTTTCCTTTGAACTATGTTACATTGTGTTATACATTACCTCTGTATTTACTTTGGTGCTGGTGGTGTTGGGAATGAGAACCAGTACCTGGCTCCCTCTGTTCAAGTGGGAAAAGTGACCTGGGAAGCCATGCTGAAAGGGAGCAGAAGGGCTCAAACAAGGATAAATTGGAATTCAACAAATGGGGTTTTAATGACAACATTACCACACTTTTCTAGCTTTCTCTGCTTGTGTAAGTCAGTGTGTGAATCTGTTCCTTCATCTGTTAGATGGGCTACTAGGTTTTACCTTGAAGGATTATACTGAGGATTAGGTCAATAATACATGAAAATATTTGTAGAAACAAATATTCACCTTACCTGTGTTCAATCATCTATACATCAAAGCCCATTTCAGCTTCACACCCGTAACTTCAACTTCCTTTTCTCCTTAAACAGTAAGAAATCAATCCTGCTATAGGGTAGAGGACTGACAATCTTCAGCCCCTTTTGAAACCTTTATTACCCAAGTCTGTACTTGCTCTGGTTCACGCATGAATGGGGGAATCTGAGCACTTTTTAAAAATTCTCTTTAGAGTTTCAATACCTCAATCCATACACATTTATAATACTTATGATTATACATTTATTTGCAAATGTTTGACATTCATTTTCGTGGTTTAGAACAAATTTACTTCAGTGATTTTTTTATTAGGTGTTACCACAGTAGGTGAGAAAAAACTCAAGAAACTGCTTACCACCACCATTTTCCCATCCACCAGCTTTCTGCTTATGGTAGCTTCTTTACCATTCCAGTCCTGAACTTGAACCAAGGGGTCATTATCTAAGGTTACCGTACTCTGAAAAACAGAACCAAGTTCAGGTTGACACATTTGAACACTAGCATTTTAGCAGGTGCTACATTCTTCATCTGCTGTGACATGGTGTATTTAAGATGACAATTACTGCCATGTTTATTTGAAAATTTGTTCAATAGCAATTGTCGGTTGACCAGACTGACAAGAGTGAAAATAACTTGAAGGAAGTGAAACTTTATTGTATTTTACTGTATCCAGAAAGTATATTATCTTTATGCATAAAGAATCACAAATTGTCAGTTTTAACAACATCGCAAGGTTAATTCAAACTCCAATGTAGAAACTTAAAGGGGAAAAGTCCTCGTTCTTTTTCTTACCCAAAAGTATTTCCCAGTTTTTTTTTTAATTTTACTTGTTTCTTTAGTTTCTTTTTAAATTTGCCAGAGACAACTTTTATTAATTATTTCAGGTCAAAATTCTTTCATTTCATATGGTACAGGAATCTGAAGTCTCATGTTTATTGAGCAAATATCTGTTAAAGGCATAATAGTTCCTTCTATCAGAATAGTGCCCTTGGCAGAGATTAACAATCCTCTATTGAGTTCAACCATTCAAATAGCAAGGATTTGTTGATCAACTATTCTATACCAACCTCTGGGTTCTATGAAACCAATGAGACATGCCATCATTGATGTGGCACCCTCTAGTATGAGGAAACTGGCAATACAGGTAAATACAGGTAAAGTATGTATTATAAGTAAATGATATATTTCAATTGGAGGCATGAGATGTGGTGAAAATTACATATTTCTTTCAGGTTGTAACAATGATCAGCCTAGAATCTCCCTCTCTTGCTGGCTGAAGAGAACACAAGTTACAGTGGTACAATTGCAAGGTACTCGATTCTCCTTTGGCCTTGGTCCCTGAGAGATTAAGAGGGGCAGAAATCCTTTCTATCCTCCTACACACACACACACACACACACAACTCAACTCCCTGTATCTACCCCAACACTTTATATGTACTGAGAAACTATTCCCCATTATTATTTTTATTTTTTATAGTTTCTTTTTTAAAATAATTTTTATTGAATGTTTATGTTTTTCATACAGAACATCTTAATCATCTTTATACCCTTTGCCCCACTGGCACCTCCCACAGCCCCCTCAGTGGATTTTGTGCATTCTGTCATTTATGTTAAGGCCTATCGAGTCAAGCTAATGTCCCCAAACATCCCTTAGCGTAAGTTCATCAACTGAGGTCTAGTTAGCCTATCTAAAGTCCCACGCTTTAAGAAGATCAGCTGTTCCTCACCCAGCAGTAATTAGCTGCCAATAGTTCTTTGGCTACGGTTGGGGCCTGCTGCCCACTTCCTCCACTCTGTGCTGGGTTTTATCTGGTCTGTTGCCCATTATTTTAAGCCACTGAGAACCTGTAACTCATTCATTGCAGGGTCATGATCTCATTTATACCAGCTAACACAAACGAAAATGGAGAATGTTTGCTTTTGAGAGGGCTACATAACTAATCTAGAGAAATAGTTTTGTAAAAGTGAACCACTGTGCATCTGCACCAGGGTCATGTTTAAAGTGCATTTTCAGGTGCTCACCACAGATTTCATTCCCTGACCCAGGCAAGATATACTAGGTAGTTTTGACTGTCACTTTGACACAACCTAGAATCACCTGGGAACAGAGTCCTAATGAGGAATTATCTGGATCAGGTTGGCCTGTGGGTTTATCTGTGGGGGATTGTCTTGATTGCTAATTGATGTAGAAGACCCAGCCCATTATGGGTGGCCCCATTCCTTGGGCAGCTGGTCCTGGACAGTAAAAGAGGAAAAAAGGAACCGGGAGCAAGCGAGGGTGTGCTTTTTTTCTCCCTTTGCTTTTGACTGTGAATGTGATGTGCCTAGCTGCTTGTGTCCTGCCTTGGCGTCTTCAAGAAGGACTATGACCTGGAAGTAGAGGCTGAATGAACCCTTTCTTCCTGTCAGGGTACTTGTCCTGGTGACAGAAATGAAACTAGAATAAGGGACAAAATGTAACGTGTTTTCCACAAGGATCCTAAGAGATCTTAGTGGATATTAGCTCTCAACATCTTCAGTTTAGTGTTTGGCCAAAGGTTTATCTAACAAACACCAGAGAGACAGATGTATGTTCACTATTGCTGCCTAACAGAGTATCTTAATTAGCATCCATATGAAAGGTCTCTGGAGGACTGTTGCAAGCATCACCTTGTTTTTACGGCCACCAGGTGTGATTTCTTCAAACTCCTCTCCCAGCTTAAAAGAGATCTCATTGTTCTTAAAGATGCTTTTGGTTTTTATGGTGATCACATCTCCTTCTGTACTGATGGTCACAGTGGGTTTTGCCAGACAGCCCAGTTTCCTGCGGGCTCTTCCTACTCCTAGAAAGAAGATAAGTGGACAAATGGGTACACTTGTTGTTGCCCTCAAGGACGCATTCTGTTTGTATAATTCTTTGCTATGTAAGAGGTTTCAGAAATAAGCAGACAATGCTGTATGAATTTAAATATCTATTTTTATTACTCTATTGCTTTATTACTTTATTACTTTATTTATTTATGTATTTATTTATTTATGGTGTGGGGATATGTGTGTAAGTCAAGGCCTGTTTTTAGATGCCAGAGGACAATTTGAGGGAGTCAGTTTTCTCCTTCCACCAGTTAGGTCCTAGGGATCAAACTCAGGTTGTCATCCTTGTGACAGGCACCTTTACCCACTGAGACATCTTGCTGGCCCAAATTCAAATATCTAAAGCTATCAGCACAACCATTGCATGTCAGAGTTTGTTTACTTGTTGACGGACATAAATTAGTCTCTAGACTTTGTTTGGCCCATCAGTCAGTTATCAATCTTGTTGACTTGTGGATCTCTTTGATAATTTGATTAGAGCTATGAACCTGAGCCTAGCACAGTGGCACACACTTGCAATCCCAGAACTCAGGAGGCTAAGGCAACAGAAGTAAGTTCTAGGCCATTCTGAGATATATAATGAGACCCTGTCTCAAAACCCAGAACCAAAAAAATTCCCCTCAAACACCGTCTACTTCACATGGAAACATAGTAATTTATTGTGGATTTTCTCAAATATTTATTTTTTTTAACTTACCTTTTTAAGGTTTTAAGAACTTATTTATTATTTTACAACTGCAGGCATTTCACACAATTTCATACAGGTAGAATATATTATGACCATAGTCCCTCTCTTATCCCCTTCCCCCACCCATTGAATCCCTTATTTTTTAATATTTTATTAATTTTTAAATTTTATGTGTATGAATGTATTGCCTACATGTATGTAAGTGCACCCATGTCATGCAGTGCCTGCAGAGGTCAGAAGAGGGGTTGGATCCCCTGGAACTGGAGTTACAGAAGGTTGTTAGCCACCATGTGGGTGCTGGGAACCGAACTCGGGTCCTCTGCAAGACCAGTCAGTGCCTTTAACTGCTGAGCCATCTCTCCATCCCCTGAACTTCTTCTTTTCAAACAAAAAAATCCCCCTCCCATTTTCATGTCTTTTTTTGTGGCCTACTGCATTGTCTGATGAATTTGGGTGTGGGTTATCAACATGAACAAGGGCAACACCACTGAGGAACGTGACTCCCTCCCCCAGCAACCATCGACTGTTCCTCAGCAACAGGTGGGGCCTCATGATCACCCCCATCCATGACGGACCATTGGTTGGCTCAGTCTTGTGCAGGTCTTACACAGAAAGCCACTACTGCTGCGTCACCTACGTTCTTATATGCAATTGAAATTGGGCTCTTTTTTCTCTGCTATACCTTTGTATTGTGGTAAAGTACACATAACACAGATCTACTATCTTAACGATCGAAAATGTGTGCTTCAATGGCGTTAAGCTCATTATAATGTTGTACAGGCAACCTTACTCTATATAGGGCTGTATCAATATAAGTGCTATATTAACTACATTGCTATTCACCTTCTTATATCTATGTTTTAAAGATTGTTAAATGTCAGTACATATTTGTGTATTTTGTAGCTTCTATAAGATGTATTCTACAAGATGTATATTCCCAAATTTATTTTCTTTATCTCCTGTTGATGATTAATTAGTTTGTTTCCATTTTGTTGCTAGAAATTCTTTAGTGAATACCCTTGTACAAAGTTTTGTGTAGCATATGTAGGAATGCTTTCAAAAGAAATAGAATTCCATAGGCAACAAAACCTAAATTTCTAGCAGAAGATATATTAGAGAAATACTATAATACGGGTAATGTATTTCATGTTGGACTACAATCACAGTATGTAATAGATTGGGTAAAAGTTCCCCAAAGTACTCATATCCTAATCCCTAGAACTCATGGATATCAACTTATATGCCAAAGGAGACTCATCAGATGTGTAAAAAGCATGATAAGACAAATCCAGATTGTCCTGGATTGCAAGAGAACCCTAAATGTAATCATAGTGTGCTTGTCAGGACAAATAGGGGGCCAGTGAGGTGGCTCAGCCGTTAAAGACATTTGCCATGCAGGCCTTACAACCTGAGTTCAAACCCTGCATCCTATATAAGGAGAGAACCAACTCCACAAAGTTGTCCTCTGACCTCCACACATGTGCGCCAGAGCATGGACACCCCCTCCATCATATACACATACACACACACATTGATAACAAATAAAATTAAATAATAAAAGAAAGTGTTGGTTGATTACAGAAGAGAAGAAGGCAGAGTAAAAATGGCAACAAAAAGTAGAATGGTGCAGCCACGTGCCAAGGAAGACCAGTAGCCACCAGAAGCTGGAAAACGAGAGTCCCTAAAGATTAGAGCAACTTTTAAGGTACTTAAAAGTACTTATGTTTGGGGCTGGAGAGATGGCTCAGCAGTTGAGAGTACTGACTGCTCTTGCAGAGGACCCAGGTTCAATTCCCAGCACCCACATGGTGGCTACAAACCATCCTTAACTCCAGTTCTAGGGAAATACAAAGCCCTCTCTGACCTCCGCAGCATTGCATGACACAGGTGTACTCACATACATGTAGGCAATACACTCATACACATAAAATAAAAATAACAAGATTTTTTAAAAGTACTTATGTTTTATTATAAATTTTTTACTAAAATCATTTTTCTGGTTAGTTCATGGTGTATGCACATGCTGTTTACATGAATCCATAGAAAATCACATTCTAGCCAAGTTTGCATAAAACTACATCTTGATGTTGAATCAACATTTATTTTTTCTTTGTGAAAAATTAGAGAGTCCAAGATTAATATTACTTCATGCAGAGCAAGTCATACAATATTAAAAATATCTTCAAGACTGGATATGATATGCAAATAAACATGGCTTACCTAGCTCCTTCATATAGTTTTCAAAATTTTCACAAGAAATAGATTTCCATGTTCCTTGAAGCTGATCCACCATTGTGTCTGAGGTAAGCTGATCTCAAAGAAAACTTCTTCATATGGATGTGTGTTGGTGTTCCCAGAAATAGGGTTGGAACATGTTTTTAATACAGTTCTGAATAGAGAGAACAGTAGGAAAAATCAGAAGGGAAAAAAGGAACTCTAACCTTCATCCTTTGTGATTTCCCCTCACTGCCCTCGAAAGCAGCAAAGCTCTCTCCAGAGTAAACAAGCCTATAGTTCTCAGTAGGATTAGACATAACTATGATAGCACTAACAGGATGCCACTTCCTTCCCAGGGACTGACCACCCCCACACAGGAGAGCTGGACACTCCACTTAAGCCACAAGACTCCTATGGCCAGGTCTCCATCTACCCACAGGTGATTCATAAAAATCCACCTTGTTGATTGCTTGGTGGTTTTATATTCTCCTTGATAATTTGAATTAAAAGTCAGAGTGTGTACATACATTACATAGTGTTTGACATTGGGAGTAAAAGGTTAAGTTAGGCAGGATTAGAACAACCATTAAATGCAACTGAGCAAAAGACTAACAGAAATAACAGATCAGGAAGAAATTGTTCCCAGTGCTGAGTCAAGGACTCAGAGACTTGTCATTGCTCTGAGAACACCATATACCTTCTTAGCAGACCCTTCTTAATTTAGGCTGATTTCTGTTCAAGTATGATATTCTGAAATCTAGAGATATTTGTACTAGATCAAAATACTAGCAAAGAAATATCATAGCAAACACCTCAGTAGAACAAAAGGAGCTCCAAATGGCAATTTGAAGGACAAACTCATCCTTACACGTGGATTGTAGGCAGTGCTGTATATCCACATGTTAACATAGCGTTATTAAGAAACAAGGGTATTACAAAATTCCTTAAGACAGGAAAGGGGATACAACATTTTATTATAATTCCCATTGTTAAATTTCCAAACTCCATAGTCTCTCTGAACATAATTTATCAGGCTAATTCTTTTTTTAATATTTTATTTATTATTTTTATTTTTTTTAATTTATTTTTTTAATTTATTTTTTTTTTTGGTCTTTTTAAGATAGGGTCTCCCTGTAATCCCAGCTGTCCTGGAACTCACTATGTAGACCAGGCTGGCCTTGAACTCACAGAGATCCGCCAGCCTCTGCCTCCGAGTGTTGGGATTAAAGGCATGCGCTACCATACCCAGCCCTATTTTTATTCTTTTATGTGTATGCATGTATTACCTGCATGGAGGTAAGTGCACCCATGTGGTACAATGCCCGCAGAAGACAGAAGAGGCTACTGGATCCCCTGGAACTGGAGTTATGGAGAGTTGTTAGCTGCCATATGGGTACTGGGATTCAAACCCGGGTCTTCTGCAAGAACAGACAGTGTTCTTAACCGCTGAGTCATCTCTCCAGCCCCAGGCTAATTCTTTTACTCATAATTATTCAACAAACATACACAAATAACTAGTATTATATGCCTAACAGAAGACTAAGAGATTTTTGTATTCATGTTGCCTAAATAGCTCAGTTGCATAGTGAAGAGACAACAATATATTTGTTCGTTTGTTTTTCTTTTCTGAGTTAGGCAATTTCATATCATGATTTATTTACATTAATGTGTAAAAACTGTATGCTTATGCCTACTCCATTTAGTAGGCATGAGGAGACAAGAAATGACCCAGCACCGAGAGCACTGAAGGTACTCCAATCAAAGACACTGGAATTCC